ATTGGCAACAAAGGCGCACAACCTCGTGCCATTATTGTTAAGTTTGTGGATCAAGCTCAACGTGATATGGCTTTAGCTAACAAGGCCATTTTCAAGGGACGGAGGATTTGGTTAAATCCAAATCTTACACCTCTTCAAGTTGAAGCAAGGAGGAAGTAGCTTGCAAAAGTCAAAGAAGCTCAAGATGCAGGTTTTGTAGCTTATCTACGTGATAGTCAAGCTATTATCACCAAGAGGAGAAGACAATCATCAACCTAGCAATCCAAGAGATTGAGGGTGTTGATGTGGAACATAAGAGGCCTATCTACAACTAAGTATGTGAGTGCACATCCGATTTGAAAGATGGCGGACATCCTCAACATTGTTGACACTTGGGAGCATGAAAGTAATGTTATTGGAGAGATACAAGGGTTTACTCTGGTGGGATCTACTTGGAACTATAGAAATCAACGTGCAGGAAGAGGCTTTGGGGGCATTGCTACTTTCATCAGATCTGAACTTCTTCCTATGATACATTTGGAAAGCCAAGATATTGGGAAACAATATCATTGGCTTCGTCTTGGATCGATTGGAGGATCTTATAGTTATTTGGCAGTTTGTTACTTTGCACCATTATCCGTGCAGATCTACTCCACAAGCATTTGCAATCGAAGTCAACCATTCCATCGGCTCATAGGAGATGTTCTCAAATATCAAGACAAAGGTGAAGTTTTTCTTGTTGGAGACTTCAATGCCCGCATACGTTCCGCTCAATTTACACAATTTGATAGTTCCTTGTCTTCTCACTCTTTTGAAGAAAGTAGAGATAGTTTGTGGTCTAGAGTCTCTTGTGATTCTTGTACAAATGATTCGACTGAGCATTTCTTGACTTTTAGAGCCACTTGTAATCTGAAAGTTCTCACTTTCTTTCCCAACTCTCACTCCAATACATGTCTTTCCTCTACAGGTGTTAGCACTATAGATTATCTTTTGTCCTCTGCCACTAATAGTTCATTTATCTCAGCGTTTGATATTCTAGAGCCTCAACCAGAATCAGATCATACACCTCTTTTATTTACTCTTTTGTTGTCAACGTCAATCCCTCTCCCTACATGTCACTATGTTTCTACTTCCCCCAAGTTTTGTTTAGATGCTAATAAGAAGCAACTTTATAGTGAACATTTCCAAGACCTCTTGACTTGTACTACTTGGAGCCTTGATCCACATACATCTAGTTTGCAACTAACTGAGTTGCTCCAAAACTCTGCTTCTAAGTTCTTTTTGAGACATAAGACCAGGAGAGCTAGAGGTCTTCCTTGCAATGGATGGTTTGACTTTGATTGCAAGCAAGCGAGTGCGAGATCACTTGATAAATCCTTGGATCTTCATAATCGGTTGATTATGACAAGACTTTACAAAGACTTGGTGAAGTGCAAGAAACGAGCATTTTTGAGGCAGAAGCAAGAGTGCTTGACAAAGGAGCTCTTGGAGAATCCCAAATCCTTTTGGAGACGGTTGGCAGTACGATCTTCTAAACCTACTCTTGATCCCAAGTCTTTGATTTCTTTTGCTGAAAAGCTTTATTTCTTTACCAATGTTGCATCTATGCCACATTGTGAAGGAAATCCAGGCTTATTTTCAGAAGTTGAAGTGATGACTCAACTCAGACAATTGGCAAATGGTAAATGTGAGGATTTGGATGGGCTTTCCATTGAACTTCTCAAGTGGGGAGGAGATGCTATTGGGCCTATACTCACGAAAGTGTTAGAGGATGCTGCTATTCATGGCTTTCCTTCATCTTGGTCTCTACGGAAGATTGTTTCTATTCACAAATCTGGGAGCAAGGCCTTGGTGACAAACTATCGCACTATCATGGTGGGTAGTATTTTTGCCAAATTATTTGGCAAATTGGTGGAGTCAAAGTTGAGCACATGGGCTGAATCTTGTCAGAAGAGAGCGCGGTTCCAAGCTGGTTTTCGTCCTACATTCAACACTATAGACCATATCTTGGTTTTACGTGTTCTATGGGAGAAATCCAAGGGTAATGGAAAAGCTTTGTTTTGTGCCTTCATTGATTTCAAGAAAGCTTTTGACACAGTACCTCGTGAACTTTTATGGCAAAGATTGCAAACCATTGGAGTACCATCAGATCTCTTGGCAGCGGTGGCTGCATTATACCACTCAGTTCGGGCCAAGATCAACACTTCTCAAACCGAAGAGATTATCAGCACCATTGGAGTCATTCAAGGTTGTACTCTCTCTCCCACTCTCTTTGGAGTTTTCATAGATGATATAGAAAGGTGGTTGGAGGATTGTGATAGCGAAGGTGTTAAACTTGGAGGCTTTGTCATCAAAGCTCTTTTGTATGCAGATGATGTCATATTACTTGCACGTGATGCCACTAGTTTACAAAAACACCTCGACACTTTGGCTAGCTTTTGTACTCAAAATCAGATGGAAGTCAATTTGGAGAAGTCCAAAGTCATTCTTGTGGGCACTAGATCCAAGCTATCTTTCTGTTACAAAGGATTAGAGTTGGAACAAGTGAAAAGTTACAAATATTTGGGCATTGATTTCTCATCTGATTATAGTTGGGCACTTTGTGTGCAAAAGAAGGTAGAAGTTGGTTTCAAAGCTCTATATTCATTGCTAAATATAAGTAGAGGAGCTCATCTAGTGTCTTGGAGTCTTAGGAAATTCTTATTCAGGAGCTTAGTGTTTCCCGTTATCTTATATGGAACACAAGTGTGGGGTCCTGGTTGTAAGAAGACAGGTTGGCAGCGTTTGGAGAGGATGCAAAAGATCTTCTTACAAGAAGAATTGGGTGTGAGGACCCAAACTTCTTATGCAATTCTTCTTGCGGAAACAGGTTGTCTACCTCTTGAGGCTGAAGCTCTCTTTTTGACTATCACTTATGTCAAAAGAGTGAGATCTCTTGATGCTTCTCAACTTCCTCTTGAAGCTTTGCGTGCCACACGTCCCAAGGGTTGGTTTGCAAATGTGGTGACTTGGTCTTTGAGGTGGAATGTGACGGAACTCGATTGGAATTTGCAACCTATTGCCCTACGCGAGCGTATTAAGGAGGAATTTCTCAGCATTATGTGGAGCACACGAGTCACCAAGATGCAGTTTTATCAACTTCATGTGAATCCTATGCTTGTTAATTGTGAGCAAGGATACTTACTTGCAGAGATATCTACTTCTTTACGTCATATTATTGCTAGATATAGAACTGGATCTCATAGTCTTGGGATTGAAGAAGGGCGTTGGTTGAACATTGATAGGAGTGAACGTATTTGTAGGCTATGTGATGGAAGAAAAGTTGAGGATGAAGAGCATGTATTTCTTACTTGTTCTAGGTATGTAGAGATTCGAGTGGCGCATAAAGTTGATGTTGAGAATTTTTTTTCTCTGCTTCAACTCGAGCCTTATGATTTAGGTTGTTACATTAGAGATATTATTAGTTACCGTTCTAGTGCTTTGGGCACTAGCTAGGGGGTTTTTTTGGTTCTCTCCTAGTATGGAGTTGGATTGTTTATATTGTGTATTTTTAGCCTTTTGTCCCTTTGGGTCCCACGGGTTTGATCTATTTACCATTATCATGTCATTTATCTGTTATGATTGAAAAAATTACTATCAAAAAGCTTAATATAATATTGCCACAAAAGATATAAAATATAGAACAATTTCAAATTTTCAATATTATAAACAATGATTAGGAAAGAAACATAAAAATAAAAGAATTCTTATCATTTATGCAGTATTTTTATACATTATTCACCCACTTCAAATTTTAAACAAATGAAAGAATGTGTTGATTATGTTCTAAGATTTAAAATTTTATGTAATGAAACTAAAAATATTGATTATATGTCCCTCTGAAACCAATGAAATTTTAATTTCATAGTTTTGAGAAGTAAATATCATAATGAATTCCTCAATATGCTTGCATCTAATTTACAAATCCCAATAATATTAGACGATGAACAAAGATCAGAACATACTTCATTGTTCTTGTGGTCAAATAAAAATCTTAGTAAAATATGATGTACGAGAGCGTTCATATCTTAGATCCACTATCGTTTAATTTGTCATTATCTATTCTAGTGCCATAAACAATTAATCATTTCACAGAGTTCTCTTACATTGTAACATATAGTAAGTAGACAACCAATTTTATCATTTAACTCATTTGACAATATACTATATTATCAGTTTTTACATCAAAAAGTAAATTCTATCTTTTGTTTAAAAATATTGGTGGACTGAAATTTCCTTTCCAATCACAACTCATTCACTCACTCATGCCTTCGTGACAAGAAACTAAATGTACTCTGGCGCGCTTCATGGAGGTTTCTTCCTCAGGGCGTTAGTGACAAGCAACTAAATGTACTCTTCTGCGCTAAATGAAGCTTCTTTCATAAGCATTGGACACTTCGTCACTCGTTTCAGATTGTTTTGATCAAACAGGCACATAACCTTGCTATTGTTATGACCATATGACCCTGAGGGTAGCTACTGATGAGGCCATATAGCTTTGGAGATCCCGCTTCAGGTTCCTTAACCTGCAGAAATGGAATCCTCGAATCGAACAAGGTATACAAAACCTAAAAGAAGATTAAAGAAGATAAACCTCCTGCAGACTTCTCTTCTCCTTGTACATACATCTTCCAAATTAATTGCAAGACCAAGAGTGAAGTTCCTTGTAATGGAATGGGAAGAAGTTCCGATCAGGAGCTCGTGCGCCATCTTCGTTGGAACACAATGGAACTGGCAGACAAAAGCCTTTCAATCAAGAGTCACTGTTTATACTGACGATAGGAATGAGTTACGAGGCCAGAAGAAATATAAGATGCTGCCATTTACATCTTCCGCCCACATGTCTATGTGATTCACATAGAAGACAAAACTAGTACATGTCTGCTTATATCATTAAACCGTGAAATCTGCAAGCTGTGACTGGAAGCAAATGTTAGGGTGAATTCACTATACATATCAAACAAGCATATTTATCCCGCTTTGATACCCAAGCAAAGAAGAATAAGTAGTAAAAAAACTGGTGACGGACCTTCTCATGTGAAACCTTCAAGGACAACAATAGAAATCAGCAGTCCTTAACACCAGAGCAGCCCTCCAACGACTTGATACTACAAGAATCTGGCAGCAATTGACTGTGCACGAACTGGAAATATCATACCGAAAGCTCCGCAGACTAATGACATAAGACAACAATACTGCTTAGACGATGTAATGGTGGCTACGCACCGGACTACAGGATGGCTTATGCACATGATCAGTCCTCTAATCATATTCTCTGACTGTGATACTAGTGGTAGGTTGGAAAACCTGCTGAAGCTGCCTAAGAGCAAACTCAAGTGTGCTTACCAAGAAGCACTCTTGATGGAAACATCATAATTGCCTGAATTGCGAAGACCATGTGTGAGTGATTGATGACCTTGGTCGATCAAATTAATAGCTTTGAAAGAATTTACATTTCCTAAGACCCGAGGTACACACGTTGCGGCGACAAGTATTTCAAGAGCTTCATTCACGCCTGATCGTACTGTAGTAATCCAAGATGGACCCTCTGCTCATGCTCGTCGTCCATTTCTTCTGCAGAAGAAATCAAGCAGTCCATTTGACAAGAAGCATCTACGCTCTTCAACATTCGACACGATGGGGATGGAAGTGGGTAAACTGCTGGTACTCAGAGACTTCGCCCCCGACAGTTCAAGAGGATGCGTCCAGATCCCTCATGATTGGTATTGGTAAAATGAACTGTAGACCCCGCCAGTCAAGGATAGCTGCCGTATCTTACTCTTCTCTCTGCCCAGTCTCTGAACAAAGCGGCTCTATCAGCTCTTCCAGCTATGCCTGCCAGTCTCTCACTTTCATCTGGAGGAGGTACATAGGAGTTATCGTTGTTCAGATGCATATCTGTATGGTCGTCTGGCTCTCGCTCTCCAGCCAGCTGACAAAAATTGTGGAGAACACAGCAGGCAATCACAACTTGAGGGGCGTATTGCAGACCAATATTCAAATTCGTGAGTATACCCCACCTTTTCTTTAGGATGCCAAATGCACTTTCGATGCATAAGTGGGCTTTGTTCAGCTCTGCATCAAAGTCATTTTGTAAAGCTGACGACTGAGAATTTCGTGCTGGAGAGAAGGGTGTGATAAGGAAGGGCATAATGGGATAGTCCGTGTCGCCAACAAGGAAAGGACGTATCGGTCTGGTACTCACCTGCGCAACAGGTTGCTCGAGTACTCTGCCCTCTTTTAGCTTGAGCCAGAGGCTACTGGACCTAAGATGAATTGCGTCATGGAGGCCTCCAGGTGCGTTGCAACAAACATCCCAAAAAACCTTGTCTGCATCACAGACTCCCTGAAGCAGAACGCTGTAGAACTTCTTATTATTCCAATAGAACTTCGGCGTGTCTTGAAGGCGGGGCTTCCGCCACAGTTTGATATGAGTCCCATCGATGGCGCCACAAATGTTCGGTATGTTCGTCAGCTTCTGGAACTTCGCGATATTGTTTGCAAGTTTCGTCCCTGTTGGTATGCACACAAACTTCGAGTAAAGCTTATTCTTGGAAGCCAGAATATCCGTGATCTGCTTCGTGTATTCGGTGACTGTGGATGGGCCGACATTGTACAAATTAGAGATTGTACTGGGAGGAAGACCAAACGCCAGCCTGTGAAGCACCATAGCAACGGCTCGGTCTATCTCGATGGGATCCCTGACAGTATTATTACTCCTTTCGATGAACGGAGTAAGCTCACCCAGCAAGGTTTGAAAAGCTCTGTACGACATCCGGTACTGAGCATGCCAGTGCGAGTCCCTCACTCGTTCGTCTGTACTCCAAGTCCGCTCCTGCACCATATCCCAGTAGGTGTTTTGTCTCGGAATTTTCCAAAGCTTTTTGTTGTTGTTGGAATTGCAGACCGATCCGTAATAAGCCGCAACCAGGACCACAAAAATCGCAGCGGTGGGAGTTTCTAGAGAAGCCATTGACGCCATGTCTGTATCCAAGTGCCCACCCTGCATGTGCGCCCACAGTAACAGCATCTCGAAAAGTTCCATTGTTCTATGATATTTTGACACTCCTCCGAAGCTACAAGTCAGCTTTGATGATCACAGCAACCAGATACTCAAGCTTATCCTTTCAACACAGGAAATGAAATGATTCCGGGGAAAGCCGCTCTTCTCCAACATCAGAACGTGCTTCCTCATAACACCCTCCATAGAATGGTTCGCGGCATCCTTGCCTCCTTTCATTGGCCCGAATTCTATGTCAAAACTTTTGGAGAAACCGATACTCATCCCTAAAATTTGACCACCTGGAAACTCTGCATTGAGTAAACAACTCCAATGGTCTGCTCAACCACGAGTAACCTTCCTCGAAAATTCCCTCCCGACTAGGAGCTGTAGCAAGGTGCGTTGAAAGAGAAGACCATGGTTAACGTGTAACTTGTAATGTCCACTACTCCTCATTCACCGACCTGTGACAGAGGAGTTCAAAAATGAACCTCGTGCTAGACCAAAGAACTGCATTCGGTCAAGAACGTCATCGCGTACTCTTCAGATCGTAATAAACTGAAATTGTGAGATAATCTCATCAAAGATTTACAACACGATTAGAAACCCAAACAGCGAATGCAGAACACTCAGCTCTAAAACCCAGAGAGATATCAAACTCTGTCACCCAAAGAGTTTAAAAACAAGCAGGAGTGCACGAGACAAATTCACACATGATAATTTTCAACACTCGACTCTTTGACACAAAACAATTTCCGACAATCTGCTCTCTACCGCTACGCTCGTCCAAGCTCTGGGTTTTGGGAAGCGTTCGCAAATTCAGTGGAAAGATAATTTGCATGAACCGCCAATTTCAAATTATGAGACCTCTCACCTCGCCCGGCGCTTCGACACCCCATTCCCGACCAACTTTTGAGCTCTTCGCACATCGAATCAAAACGCCTGAAGACGAACACGTTCTCCTCCTAGCTCATCAGTTCTAAAATTTTACAGTGACACACCGAAGAAAGCACCCCGCGATTTAAGCTCTGGAAAAGCTCGATGGAGCTCGATGAACAGATGACCCAACACCACGAGAAATTCAGCAGCCCCGATGCAAGTCCACAGTTTGACCAACGACGGAAGGTTGCCGTTGATCTTGCGACCCACGAGAGCGAACGTCGTGCGGTGGCTGGCCTTCGGAGAAACAGAAGCAAGTGCAGTGAGACGAGAAAATTCGAAATGCCGAGAAGCAACTCCGTCCTGTTTGCGCCATGCGAACAAGGCCGAAAACCCTAGAGCGTCCTCGCCAGAATCTTCGAGCCAGATTGTGGCAGATTCTGTCGTGCGCTTTTTATCGTTCTGTGTTGGGACCTTTGGCGTCACATTCTCACGTACAAGTGGAAAACAGCAGCACACCAACCATTCACAATCATATGATATGATTATATAAGTCATGAGGCGATGCAGTTCTCAGGGTAAAAAGCCAAATGCTCGAATTTTTAGGATGGAAAAGAAACGCAGATTAGATTATTGGATCGGGCAGGAAAGCGCCAAAAACTCATGGATCAAAGTTTAGTCGTTTTAAATTTAAGAATGGGCAAGCAAGAGTGGGAAACTCGTAAGGTATATCACATTGACTTCAACTTTACGTCTTTGGACTTTAGTTGTTTATTGAAGTAAAAGGTGCTGATTGCACCGTTTGTTAACTACGGTGTTAATGGTGCTAATTACGGTATCAGATGCTCTTGATGCGCGCAACTATTTTATTGAAAAAACTGCTTCTGATATGGTGCATGGTTATGAGAATATGTTGTGCATATCAGACGGATTGTATAATATATTATTATAATACCACGGAATCATCTAATACGCCATGTTCCAATCCAAAGACTAGATTTGGTCTGGACCAAGTAGACATAGTTTTCCCAGAACGTGCATTTTCTTTGTTGCGGAAGTGAAGCCAAGAAAATGTCAAGTGCCATGTATTTTTTTTGGCCGTGGCCTTTTGTGATAATATACTTGTGAGGCTGAAAACTCACAAGTTAGTACACGTCTTTTGCCACTTTCGGCTAATGATGCTAGTTGAGAACAAGAACATACTTTATGCAGAATAAATGTCTTCAGCGCCACATAAATCAATCTCAATATTATAGAAACTCTTTGCCTTTGCTACGTTGTCCACTTAAAACGTTTAAACATACTCGTATTGATTTTGATCTGTATCCAATAAGCCGCAATCTTTTGCGTTTTGCTGTTTGTGTTCTCTACTCTCTCTCTCTCTCTTCGTTCTTGCTTGATTCATTATCGTAAAATTATCTGTCCCGACCATTGAATTTATCCCAAATTTTTACATTCCACATTATCCTTGCAAAAGCTATCCAATATTCTTAGCAAAATCAATTCTCAAAAAATAGCTTGTTAAATATCAACATTTAGACTCTTTTTTGGCATTTCACACTTATTTAGTATGCATGGTTACTCTTCAAATCTGAATGACTGAGTTAAAATCATATTTTCTTAAAACCACTCATATCTTAATGAATATTATCCTCTGGACTTACAAATTGTATTGTGAGGATGTTGACATGTTTGTCTCACAAACATGTCAAATATATCAATAATCATTTTAATTAACATAAAACTCAAGTCTATCATGTTTGAAAATATATTCAATCCATATTTGACACAAAAGTACGCATCTAATTAATCAAATTAAAATATAAAAAAAATTAATGTACAAAAACACTAATAAATAACTTTTTATATATTAATTTTCTGATATAGTTAGTCCATTCTTTTGCAAGCGTTAACATAAATCATACAAACTGAAGATTTCTATCAAATTATTCAATGTTGGCATAACACAATATATGTCTATTTTGTTAACTCCACACTCCTGATATTATGTGAAATTTTTTTGCAAAATTTACCTCGCAGATCATAAGTATAGTATGAACTTAGTTTACCTCTGATAATTATAGGCATCACAATTCAATGTCTATCACAATTCTAAATGTATAACTTAAGTTTTGTTGAAGAGTGAAAGATTGAGCAATCAGATTGAATGAAAAATATTACTTATCATTACATACTTCATATAAAGGTTATTACTATATTGATGTTTTCCAAGAGTTTGATACCCTGATTTACTTATTAAAAATTTTGTTTCTTCTCGTAAATGTCCGCATCATAAATCATTATCATGCAAAGTATATAAGAATTTTCTTTTAATATATGTATAAGATATATATTAAAAAACCTTTTCCTCAAGAATATAAGTGAATAAAGATTTGTACTTTATAAATGATTTAGATTCATCAAAAGAAAAATTTGTGTTGAGAATAATTACACTAACTATAACCTATAATTTTTACACTTTAAGTATATTTTTTACAAATGACACTTCTTGCATATAGGTTCCAATTTGAAAATATAATTAAACAATCAAAAAATTAATATAAAAAGTATAAATTATCATCAATTTCATCTATATGTAGATTAATTTAAATATAAAATCAAGAAATTAATTGCATTGAAGAAGTAAAAATTATCAAATACACTAGATTATTGAGAAATTTAATCCAAAATTCATCTTATAAATCAAAAGTCTTACATGCTGCAATTTTTTCTAACATTATTTGTTGAATCTTTCAAAAATAATGATATGTTGCAGAGTATGTAAAGTTGAGATGAATAGTGATATTCTCCTATTTTCATTTTTTTTTAAGTCCTCAACTGCATGGTAGTCTCACTTGTATCAAGTTTGGTTCTTAATTTGAAGTTTACAACTTCAAAAAATTTTAAGGAAATTATATTTTTGTATGAAAAAATAAATTCATACAATATTTGAATAAAATGAATCAATAATATATGAGGTTAATTTCTAAAAATTGGAAATTTTGTGAAATACATCCAAACTTCACTAAGTGTATATTCAAAAAACCATTTTGAATTATGAGTTTTTATATCAAAAGCCAATCTAAGATGCTTATTCACAACACATTATTTATAAAATTCTAAATCAATTTTATTAACGGCAGGTAACAAGTTGTTATTGACAAAGAGTGTCAAATAACTAGCAAATGACATTATAAGATTTAGTAAAGTTAATCTCAACATAGATAATATTGTACTTTAGCATGTATATATTTTTATGATTTTTTTCATTGAAATAAATTTTCCACATATTTCAACCTCAAGCAGTGTTATTTTAGAGCTCTTTACAAAAAAATTTGAATCTCACATTTGAAAAAATATAAGGTTTTTTTTATATTAGATATAAATTTCACTGAATTAATGTATGTATAATTATCTCAAGTACTTGAATCTTAATAGCTCCAATAATTTCAAATCTAGAGGATTTATCATTTGCAGTCATCTATGGTTGGATTAAACTAAACTAATGATTAATCAAAATATAGATAAAGTTGACATAAAATGCATTATCTGTAATTATCATTTCAACAATATGTTTGTTTGTCACATAAAAATGCACTGTGTTAATAAAGAGCGACACATCATTTTTTCATATTTTTGTCAAATATATCTGTCATACTATAAATTTGTAACGATTGAAATGAATGATGAGAATGCAATATTGTTTCCTTGTATATTTTGAGATGATACATATAATAAATTAATTCATTATGGTAAATAGTAAATAGATCAAGCTCGTGGGACCCAAAGGATCAAAGGGCTGAAAAACACAATACAAACAATCCAACTCCAACCTAGGAGAAAATTTTAGATGTATCTCATTTCTAGATGTATCCAATATCTAATTATTTTAGATGTATCTCATATACACTATTTGAATTTTCTCTTTGATCAAAATTCAATTTCAATCTCTAGTGCTACAATGATATTGTAGCTATCTTAATTTTTCACTAAGTGTGAATTATTTATCATGAAATAGAAAAAAAATTAAAAATGTTTGTTTTTGAAACTATGTAGAATCTAACAAAAATCATTGAACCACATGTAAAGAGAATAGAAATGAAGAAATTGTGATTGTATAAATATGAAATTGCTTGATAAAATACAGCTAGAACAATGATGAATCTCCAATCTATTTGACATTCATTTTTGTTTTATGTGAAAAACATCATTCTTAATGTACATTGTGGAATTATGAAATGCAAAACTTATGACTCAAGTAATAAACTTGAAGTTGCAATTAATAATTATGATTGATAATTACAAAACACATAGATTTGCAATGTTTGACTTCTATATTTATTACATGAAATCAAGACAAAAGTTCATTTGAACATGGAACACAAATTTTGAAATTTAAATATACCCATAATGGTTTTTAAATTGGTATATATATATCAATCTAACAAATACAAAAAGATTGAATCTAATTTCAATCTTCCATTTTTCTCCAAGCATGATATGATATGATTTATCTAAGAAGTCCATTGCTAAGGTGTTGCTATTATCTAGTACAATTGTTATTCATTTATCAAACACATAGGGTTTTGACTAGCAATTACAAAAATTCATTTATAAATCAATTTTATCTTGAATAACCTTTTCTTTAGTTTTAATTAATAAAAAATTGTTACAAATCGTTCTACTTTTTAGTCACAAAATACTTATTGAGTCTTAAAAGAAGTGAAATTTGCACATATGTTTAAAATTCTATACTATAAAAATGAGTAAGCTAGATTTCTAGTTTTTTTTAATCAAATTAAATATTATAAGAAATCATCAATCAGATGAAGCAAGTTTTTTTAAAACACAAGTCAAAGTAGCAGGTTATATTTGATAAGCTTCAAATCACTACATCAAACAATTGAAATCAACCCAAAATTGTTATTAAGATATCATCAAATCAAATTGATAGAGTTACTACAAGATGTGGAATATGGAGCAATTTATCTATTTATGAATATCATGATATTGAGATTCAGGATGATGGTGATAGTGTGTTGATGTTGGAAAAGTTATAACCTTATTCATACGGCTTGTAGCTTGAAACTATGAATATCGGAAGATAAATATATGACTAGCATACGCAGCAAAAACACGAATTAATTCAATAGATTTATCATTGACATGGAATTGAATTAGGAGAATGTCAATCTTCATTGTAATAATAAGAATGTCTTAAGTTTTGCAAATCAAATGATGATAAGTAAATTGAAACACATCACATGTCATACTATCAAATTTCAACTTTGATAAAAATATTAATATAATCAAAATCCATAGTAAATTCAATCCATGCACATGATTTGTAGTTATTTCCTTAATAAGTTTTAGAAATATTGTACGTTTTTGCACAAAGTGCATAAATAAAGCTATGAACTATTATTTATCATTTGTTGTATACAATTAGATTTAATTACTTCAATTTTAATGAATAGTCTATGTTAACTTTCTTTCTAAATTTTCATATATAAATTTCAGAGATAGGATTCTCAAAACAGATGTTAAGGGGTAGATGCTTAAGAATTAACTCAAGTCTTGATTTAACTTATCCTTGATTTTAACTTGTTAGATCACTTGGTTAGAACATCATTATTTATAAAAGAGGTCATAAATGTTTTTTCAAAAAAACTTGAGGTACTTCATGAAAGCAACAAATCACTAATGTCTAGTCATTCTCACGTGAATACTTGGATAGGTTTTGACAAATATATTTGAATGTAGATTACAAATGAGTGTTAAATACTTTAAAAAATTTGAATTATTTACATATATTTTTAACTTACTAGATTACATGCGGCACAAAGAATGAAAAGAGACAAATGTCTACCTTCATTCTTTGTGATTCAGATTCGAATACCACAAACTTAGCGAAATTTGGAACTTGTTATTACTACATTTATAAGTTCATTCAAAACATTTGGAAGGAAAAATTGGTCACCGATCTACTTTTATCGTTCATCTAATTTTTTTTGGATGAATATATGAAATATGGAAAGATATTGAAAGTCTATGGGACGGTGAAGGTCTGGTACTCTGTAATCTTGGTCTGGTGCAAACTGCTACTGAAGAGATGAGGTACAAACTTAGGGGAAAATCACACGAATTTAAAATCAGCTTGCATCATCAGCTTCGTCATTAGCAAGAAAAACTAGATCTTTTTGATTCAAGCAAACTACAATGCCCCGTTTCTCATATTGCTACTTCGTTTCTCTCCTGCTTGCTCAACACCTCGCTAGGTCTTCATGAAGTTCTTTGCGATATTTCGCTCTGTTAAACTACGAATCCTATATTTTGAATCGAAGCAACCTCTAAAACCAGGGAGCTTAAAACAGAGTTATTACCACGGGAGATTGGTTCCTGAGAGAAAAGAGAAGCGAAGAGCGAGCTGCCATGGCGTAAGGAGACAAGGGGCAGATAATTATCTCATCCTCTGTGATAGTACGAAATAAAGCACAATCATCGGGACCAGTCACCCCAATTTAGTTAGTGGCGAGTAAGTCCTTCCAGATTCTCATCTATGGCATAATTTGACGTCCTGTAGACCTCCGAACTCGCTGATCTTTCAAATCATATATATTTAAAACATATTTTACACTTACTCTTGGCGTTCAATGTGAGGAATATCACGAAAGAAAAACCTTCGTCCAACGTGGACGATATTGTGACTGAATGGGACTTTTCTCTCTTTCAGCTTATCCGGAGAGGGCAATATACAATTGTAACTTAAAGAAAGAGATCTTCACATACGACTGGAATCTCTACCAAAAAATAGACGCTTCGTCCAGTCAAACAACACCAACGCTCTTGTACGCCAGCTGACTTGTTTGCTGCAAGAAAGAGAAACGGACGACGAAAATGTATTATAAATTCTTAAACACAACAGAAAGCCAAGTCCTACAAGTTAAAAAGAGATACAGAACTGCACAGTACAACGGGCATAGTAAATACAATATGGCAGACTGGCAAAGTCGAAGAACAAATTTGAATACCTGCAACATGTGAAAGGATCTAGAACAGAAATCTCAATGAAGGTCCTTCGAACTGGAGCTAACCCGACAACACAAATTATTTTACAAAGCGTTGCCAAAAAGCCTACTGAAGACCTACGTATATGTTCTAACTACGCATATTGGAAATCTGCACATATCTACCACATCTTTTGACATTCTCACATGTGAAAGCGTTCAATGGAAAAGCATATTGCATTGGGAAAAAAAAGTTACCTGGCGTACACGGAATACCAAAGCCATTGAGTACTTCTGCCTATAGACACCCAATCTCCTGGCAATTCTGCTCCACATTGTTCACTCCCCAATGGTGCAAACTGTCCCATATGCCTATACCTGCGCATATGTGACATCAAGATATCTGGTCAGGCTATGGACAATCATCCCTAAGGTAAAGAAGGCACACTTGGCTCTTTCTGCCAGACAAACACACAAACAAAAATAGAATAATGACCAACCCATCATATATAGCATAAGAAGGAAAGCCAAGCACCATCCTCACGGGTGGTGATATTAGTTCTTCAACTGCTCTCCATTGTACTTTTCTAGACAAGTTTAGTGTTTAATCTCCAGAAATGTAAGACAACAAGGGACAGAGCCTGACTCCAATCCAATTGTGCTTTGTTATAATGTCCAAGTATATTTTCCAACATCTCATACTGATATGGTTAACAGCAATTAATTAGTTCCAAACACTGTGAAATATGGAAGAATGTAGTAGAAAAGAAAAAAATTACTGAAATTGTCGAAATCGGTGACGCCCTTCCCCACGGATTCGCTCGGGCCCTTCCGGTTTATAGTCTTTCTTTGGCAAGGCATTGAAACACGCGGCCAGGTATGCTCCTTGCTGTGCTGCAACCTGTAACAGTCTCGTGGTAAAACTTTCAGCAACTTATTTCTCGTATTCACACTTTCAAAGGCATTGGCGAGGAAAAAACAAAAGTAGTGCATTCTTTAACTGAACAAGGATGAGAGCCAGAATTGTACCATGAGATACGAAAGAAGCTAACATTCAAAACCATAATCCACCAAACGGAATGACTTAGGCCAGTAAATACAACCAGAAGTGAAAGCTGAATTACCTGTGCAGTTGCAGGAAATAGTTTTAACTGTTTATCAACTTGAGCGAGGGATTTCTTGAACTCATCAACATTCAGATGCATCGCCTTCTCCTTTGCATCGCCTGGGGATATTTTCACCATATCCACAACGTGCCGAAACTTTTGACGCTGCAGATACACTTCCAGTTGTGGGTACCTTTCTCTAGCTTTCTCCATAGTCCTTTGAAACTCTTCAATCTCTAATGTTCCTGATTTATCTATATCAGCCTTTTCGAACAAATATGCGATGTCATCCTGCATGTCAACCAATTTCAAAGAGACAATCAGAAACTCCATAACTGCGGAAAGATTTCTAGCAATGAAACAACACTACATGTTTTGATATGCTTCCACATACTACTAGTTTGTTCATGATATGACAATAATTTCTTGTACCATATGATGGTTCTGTGCTTTGTAGTTATAGGTACTAGAGCATTGTTAGCGAAGAAAATAATTATGTAATGATACTTACAACCACTTTTCGCTGTTCGATAGTGGCACAATCACCAACTGCCCAGACGTCTTTGCAGCCTTTCACTCTTAGCCACTCATCAGTAGCCAACACCCTTCTATCTGTCTGCGTCACACCAAATATAAGAGTTGAAGCGCTCGAACTCTTCCAATAGATCGACTCTTCAAACCATGATAAATGAAGCCAATTGAACATATTGGAGGCAAAGCTTGGTGTATTACTACCCGTGTCAAACAAGAGCTTTGCATAAAATGAACAAAAGAAGCATTTGCTTCTTGTGGCAGCACGGTCAGATGAACTTGTTTAGAAAGTGAGACAATGTTTCATTCTCGTCCAAGACCTATTCGAAATTTTGAAAGATTCTGTACAACGAAGATTCCTATCCTATCCATATAATAATCAAATTCCAATGGCTTCAGAAGAGAAATGATCGCTACGAGTTTTCAAAAGCCTCGTCATACCTGGCCTATTGTCTTCATGAACTTCGTAAGAACAGGGCGAGTTCCAATCCCAGTAGACCAAACAGCCATACCAAAAGGCACATGGACTTCTTGTCCAGTTGCCTTCTCTTTAACTAAAACATCTTTCTCGTTGACTTTCAGAACTCGACAATTAGTTTTAACTGTTACTCCATCTCGCTGGAACTTTTCTTCGGCGAACTTACTGATTCGATGATCAAAACTGAGATAGCAAAAATGAAATAGCACTGTTAGCATCTCCTCATCACATTTTCAAAATGTCAAAATCACATCCCCTCTATCCTGTGAAGCTTACATCTAAATGACTATCTCTTAATAAGGTATAATTATTTAATTTGGAAACACCAATTTATGAAAGAAAGGAAAGAGAACTTGTATCCACCTATCACTAAGGAATAGACCACTTAACGTGTTCAAAATGTGATCTCCAGATTGGATGACAGTAACAGTGACGAGATCTTTGACACTAGGGTACAGGCTTGCTAGATCCTCAGAGACCAGATCATACAGCTCTGCTGCAAACTCAACCCCGGTGGGACCACCTCCCACGATTACAAAACTAAGCATGCGTTTTCTTTCCTCGTCCGACAAATGAGGAAGGCAGGCTGTTTCGAAGCAATCTACAACACTCTCTCGAATCTTTTCGGCATCTTCTAACTCCTGCGGCCAGAAGTAGTAAATGGAACTGTGAATATAGAAATGAATTGTCGGATTCGAATTTTGGAAAATAGCAATAATTTTGAGAAAATAATTGGTCCACACATCGGTATTCAGCACATTACGAAAGGGAAAATCGCAGTACCTTCAAAAAGTGACAATACTCCTTCACTCCTTCAGTGCCGAATGTGTTGGACATCGCCCCGACCGCAACTATGAGATAATCATAATCCACCTCAAAATCTTCTTTACCCTTCACTCGAACATTTGATGCATCTCGACAAAGAAGCTTCTTGTTTACGGCATCAATATTGACGCATTCCGATTCGTAAAAGTCAACCTGTTTACCTGTCTGTTTGTTTAGATTGCTCGACACAGACAGAGTGAGGATGTAAAATTAGTTTTAGACATTATTAAACCTCACTCGGCACTCGACATTCATTCCAAAGGATATCCGAGAAAGTTTCCTCAGATTTGAACAAATGCTGGGTGCAGACGGTTGACGTAAGCTAAGAATTTATATACTACAACGATTACAAGCAAACAGAATTAATTGGCGAAAGGAAACCACGACTTGGTAACCGAAACTTACTGAACTAAGCATTCGACGAACAGGTTCTGCTATGCTGCGCGCCTCGACCGTACCATTTGTCACGCTTGGTAATAAAGGGGTAAAAACAAAATAATTTCGAGGCGATATTATCTTCACATCGTATTGTCTTGTGTCGATCTGCTTCAGAAAACTCATGCCACCCCATCCTGTGCCAAGCACCACTAGCTTTTTCTTCCCCTCACCTGGATCGGTTGATGTAAATGCTTGCACAGGTATCAGATCGCCATCCACAGCAACTAACACCAAGCCGCCGAGACAACCACTGGAAAAAGAATTAAAGGCTGTTGGTACTAATATAAGTGTTTGGGTCCTACCATCATAGGAGCTACATCATGGTTTCAAAGAAAAGCCTATGACACTCCGGCTTAGAAAAACACTTCCAGGGACCAATGGATACGACGGTAATGTTATTCAGTCCTTCCAAATCTTTCAGCTCCTTGATACCATTACTCAGAAATCAGATATCAAGATGTTCCTGTCGTTCGCGCCATTAGCTTTTGTCCTGAGAGACAAGTATCAATCGTTTGTCTTGACAAGAATTGCGTCCCTGCTACTGCATACGCCTATAAAAGGAGACCAGCCATGCCTGCTCATGGATTTACAATTTGAACACTACGACACTTCGCTAAGCAGAACCACTCGACTGGATGAAAAGGTTTGAAGTATCGGGACAATCTTAGCCAAAAAAATATTTTCTAAAACAGAGTGAACAATGCGATAGGACTCATTTCTCGAAGGATTTTCGTTTGTTTCATATGCAGTTGGAATAGATGAGAAACGATATGTATGAATGTTTGTAGAGGCACACAATCGAATATCAACAGAATTGATGCAAATTCAATCAAGCATCTCTCAATGGTAAGGGTGTAACAGTGCCAATAGAGAAATCAGAGAAGGAGCGTGTGCATGAAACCAAAATCAAATCCGCGAATGTGTCAACTCCAATAGAAAAGGAAATATTAGAAGAATTAGGCACCTAGCACCGAGTGCGAGAACAATGCCCCTGTATGATTGCGTCTTCTCCCAATTCGGCAACGCTCTACCGAACACTCTGCGATGCTGAGTCGACTCTCCATTAGTTCCACTGGAGAGAAACCTCCTTGCCAAAACCGCTCCGAAATTATTCCGGGGCTCAGCAGTGGGGCGGAACGGCCACTTCGTCGTCGACTGCTGTGCGCCACGACGAAGTAGCGCAGTGACAGAGCGGGCGGACCGCATTGCAACAGGCTTTTCTCTTTTTCTAAAGGCACATCAACCTGGTAGGCAGAATGTCATCAGACTAACAGCAGATGCTTCAGAACACTTATGTCATGCATCAACGCCTCCCCCGCAGGCTGAAGCACCCATCAATCAGTGAAGCCAATTTCAATCAAACAATGAGCTCTTCAGAGACATCTCCAGAGGCCGTCGGAGCTCGCTTGCTCGATCACCACAGAACGTCCTTCGCAGACGGCCCGTTCCTCAGCAAACCATAAAACCTTCGAAGCCGATGAATTTCACGCTCCCTGAATTTTTCTTGCTCCATGCATGGCCCACTTCGTCGCCCGCCCTCGACGAACTTTTCTTTTGGGCCTGAGAGATTCAATGGATCGTCCCGCCCTCCTTCTCGAATTCGGGGCGGACTGTCAAGCGCAAGCGCTTGGCTTTTAAGAGCTTTAATTACCGGCAGGCAGGCGCTCCCCGCTGCAGCCTTGCTCGGTTGCCGGGCAGCTCCACGGATCCACTTCAGACATGCGTGGGTAAAAAGCGAAAAAGCGGGCCGGGTCAATCACCCGGCCCGCTTTTTCGGCAGAAGGGTCAGGGGACTGCCAGCCTTCGCCAAAGGCGGTCATCGCTCCTTGCACGACGCGTGGGACCCGGAATCCAGGACACCCGGCTTTGAGGAACATACCGGCCTCAACACTTCCCTTCTCACTCCTTACTCGCGAGTTCACTCCGTTTGCCCCTTCCTCGGCCACCACTGCAGCGTGCCCGTGATGTTGTGACGCGAGATCGCCGGTCACTTCACGGCCTATGACGTGTCCGCTGTCATAAGGCCGTGCCCAGAGTCAACTGACAGCGACTGCGCAGCCTGCGGCTCGACTTTAGTCATGGCTGCTTTCACTTTCTAAGGTGCGATCGACCTCCTTGAGGAACAACCGAAGAAGATACGACCGGCTCCAGTCCCCACTGACCCAAAACGTAGACTTTCGGAATTTTCTGTACGAGGTAAATGCTGGAACCTCAGGGTCACGTTCCGACTCTTACTTTCGAGAGTTCGCTTGCTTCGAGACAATCAAATGTCACAACATGTGTGGACTTCCGGAATCACGAGAGGTACTGCATTCAAGATATTATGGGCTCAGTCGTTTGTCTGTCGTTTCCTCTTCTTCTGACTTCGATTACGTGACATGTTGACAGACCTTTGCAGGGATTTGTCCCCAGTTTCAGCTACCCTTTTTTTGTCTCATATCAGAAACGTTCCAGTGCTGAACTGTTAAGCCATACTTTTCTCTCAAGAGGAGAAATGACACGAGCTCCCATCTACATACATCTCCACTTGCTCGACCTTATCCAAACTGCCTTGGTCGCAGAGGAACATTTTTTGGGTCATCTTTACATAACTCGTGCAAACTGGGAACTCGCGCGATGCATCATTACCTTTGTCTTGAAATTCAAATTAAATTCGAAAAAAAATGCGCAGTTTTCCTTTCTTTACTATCCTTTGTTGTTTCGCCTGTCTCCAAAGACAAGCGAAACAAAACTCACCAGGTAATCAAGAAATATAGCAAAAAGGATGGGAAGACTGCATCAAGAAGTTGGTAGAAGCGATGAAACCAAAAGGGTTAAGAGTGAGTTAGGCCCCAACAGCATCTCCATGGGAGATAAAGACTATTCAAGCAAACACATCCAAGCTATATATGTCCAATCAACTATATAGAATAATATATATTATATTTAACATATATGTTAAGGTAAGTGATGAAATTTCGGACAAGCGTGAATCTAATGTGGTCACACATTGATGTAAAAAATACTTCTCACTTTCATTATCATAGCAAATATCAAGGATTTTACAACGGTTTACATTTCAGAGTTCACAACCCCAAGCACGAACATCTGTAAGGGGTCGGCTCGATACAACCATTATGAGTTCTAGTTATCTTTACAACCATTTACCATTTGAAAGGTGAGAGTAAAATTTGTTCGTACCTGGTCCGTTTCACTTTAGGCCTTCTTTGTGTCGAAAGTTGCGTAGCGTGCCGGCATAATTCGTACATATAGTAGCAAATACGATTTGGTTCCTTTTCGAAGGCTCTTACAAAAGCACTTCTGATTGAGGTGTTCCGTAGTCACCTGCGAAAAATTGCAACCCAGCCTAGAGCTATAACTATCATCGTAAGAACTGTGACAGTACAGAATAGTTTGGCGGGCCATTTTGGTGACGATCTCTCCTCTCGCACATATCTTCCTCGACCTCACAGTTCGTCGAGGAACCCATCCTTCCCGAAATGATTCCGCTTTTAAATAAATTGTCCCCAAAAATCAATGCACATACATACGCACGATACCACCTCCAATAACTGGCATGAAGCGCATCATCCTGTTAGTCATTTTCCTGAGGTCGAATTAACCCTTCTAGACAAAACCAAATTTGTCTTCAATTATCAGGCCACTGGATACCAAGTTAGTAGTACTCTAACTCAGTTGAAATTCAAGCAAATGGCTTTCCTGAACGCGTTAGTCACTTACAATTGTTGGCCACACAATTAACTGTTACGAGTGAAGTGATCCAAAGGCACAAAAAGCTTAAGATGGTCTACTTGTCAAACTTGGCAAAGTACAACGTGATATGTCTTTTTCCAAGGGAAAAAAATACGAGGAAGTTACTTTATAGGACCCTTGGAAACTCAATCGTCTTGATGGGACTTAACAGGTTTCATTTTACCCGATGGGACCCATTCGACGGCCACGGTAAGCCATGTTATTATAACCTACTGATTTGCTCTATAGAGTGGGCAGTGTCCGCCACTGTCGGGCCAGAGTATTCTGGCAACTCGTTCGCAGCTGTTTCTAAGATAACGAGTAACACCAAGAGTCTGAATTACTCCGGATATCTTTATATCCGGATATAGTCTTGCCGTGACTTCGTGTTCTACTCGAACTATCCCCAGATAGTATTGGAACATCAATGATGGTGGGGTTGCAGTCTGTCGATGGGGTCCCATAGGGTAAAATGAAACCTGTTGGGTCCCATCAAGTGTTTTGAGTTTCCCCGGGGTCCCATCAAGTAATTTACTCAAAAATTTCCTCAAAAAAACACAGAAGGGTCTGGAGATTGACGGTAATGCCAGCCAGCTTCATCTTCTGCCAGAAGAGTCCCTGAAACCCTGCAGCACTTTGTATCTTGGCATTTGTATTCCTTTCCGACCCGCTTATAAATGTTACCTAAGCAATCTACGAATTTTTAACAAATCCATAGGTTTTAGCCTAAAACCTAGGTTTTAGCCTAAAACTTTTAGGACAAGTTACATTGTACTTCAGAATCAGTTACAAGATTCAAAACTGTACATACCGATGTAGGCAGTTTATTGTTTGGCTAATCCTTGTACTCCAGTCACAAGTGAAGCTTGATGAACGATGTATCCAGGCAGATATTTGCTATAAATCCTCAAAAGAGGAATAATGTGCTTACCACATCCACTGCACTAGTCACTGTTATAGAACGTGATGCTGCAAGTAGAGGAGAGATCAGACATACCAGTGGTGGAAGTCCAATGAAAGATTGGGGACCAGTGCACAAAAAAATGAGCGGGGCGGGGATAACTCTCTAATAATCACTCTAAATCACTCCGGGAAGATTAACCACTTTACTCCTGGAGGAGTACACTGATTGAGTAATTTAAGGAGTTACGGCACATTCTTACGAAGTGGCAAACTCGATCACTGTGGTCAATACTTCACTGGTTCTTTACATCTTTATACTACGTTTAAGTGATTAATCGAATGGTACAGGACGATCGTTTGACTGGCCCACGGGAGGTCAATAGACTCACCTGCAAAGATATCAAAGCACAGTAAGGTTTTTCTCTGTACGACGTTGATATGATCCAACATTCTGTTTGACAATTGATGTCTTCGTGCGTAGTGGCATCAACATGTACTTTGCTCCGCTCATTCCAAGACGACAAAACACCAAAGAATTGTGAACAAACCGCGAGTCTAATCGAAAAATCTCCTCGTTTTGGTCATAAGATACACTGTGACAAAGTGCTGTTTGAAATTCCTCACTTCGACTGATGCATGGTTTAAGAGCAATGTCAAACTCATTCTCTAAGTCAATTCACTGCAGACTTCACGTGTGTCTGAGCATCATACTTGGAGAGAAGCTTATGTCAACGGTCCTGCGCTTCTCCCGATCTTGGCATGGGACATGACGCATATAGACTATCACTGTCTCCTGCCATGCATCTCCTTCCCCTCTGATCTTCACACTCTCTTTTCCGATCTGTTTGCTCTCAGAAGTGCTTCCAACAATTCAGTTGATCTCGTTTCAATTTGGACTTAAAGTCTTGCCTGACGCCTTCACTCAAAATTTTGCCAGACGCTGAGATGCATACAAATGCAGTTTTCTCCTCAGCTTGGCAGAAAAGCATGGAAAAACAACTCCTCGTTTTCAATCTACAGGATATATTTTCTTTCCTGTTTTAATTGAACACGGGGAGTTGTTCGTCCCCAATTGCCTGGAGGACGAGGTCTTTTGGTCATATAGCAACCTGCGGATCTGCTTACGTGGTTTATAATTCGTCACCACCCAGGACACTCCAGGTTTCCAGAATCCTTCGACCTCTTAACCAGCAGTTTGCGGTGGGTCTTCAGTACAACACACTGCTGATCCTCTGGGACAAGGTCGGTCTTAACAGGTGCAATCTTATCAACGTATTTGCATGTTCTTGACTCGCAAGTCCTTCATGAAATCAACATAATTCCTGTCTATTTTGTGCAGTACCGCCGGGTTTCCCTTGCTTGTTTAGTGGATTGTTGGTTGCTCACATTTGGAATACGGACGAACCATTCTCTCCTGCATGCTCTGCTTTTTCAATGTCTTAATTCCTTGAATCCTCTACCAGCTTCCCCCATGTTTGGTGTTTGTCTCCCTACATCTGGATGCAAATGCAATCCTTCACTAGGGCAAGGTTCGATCATTCAACGAAAGTCATTCGCGTCTCCCTCGGATGATTTCGGGGGAAGAAGCCTTGAATGGTTTCACAAGCTTGTAGTAGTCATTCCGTGCCTTCGAGTAGATCGGGGTGGTGTTGGAAAGCGCAACTGGAAAATCGTCAATCAAGCGTCGGCTGAACCACGAATATTATGGACGAAGTATAGTTCTCACCGTAACTTTCATTGGTAGAAAATGTTGAGCTCACAGGTGGTGACAGCGGAGGGATCGACTCGATACGAAACAGAAAATGAAAAGAGTGTGGAGCATCAATGCTCGCAAAGGGTGTAATCGCGCTCCCACGCCTGGTTGTTTTGATCCACTTTGTACTTCCTCTCTTTCATGAGCTCCAGCCGATGCCTCCTTGCTTCCACCATGGTCATGCCACTCTTGGCCCGCGAAACGATATCGTGGATGATGACGGGAGGAATTCGCTTGCCCGTCAGCCTATCGGCGACGAGGCTCATCAGCTCCAGCTGCTTGGGCATGATCCGCTCCCACTGCTGGTCGGGGACATGCTTCGTTGACACCATCTCTTTCCTCGGATCGACGAGGAAAAACACGAAAATCTTCCTTGTCCCGACCTGGTCCTGGGAAGTGTTGACGATGGACGACACCTTGTGCTGCAATGAGTTTGGGAACACGGGAAGGCGATCCTCCACCATGGGCACGGCTCCGAGATTGATATTCTGTTGCAATCCGTCCAACTGCGGGAAGTTGTCGCCGAGCTCCTCCCCCATGTCGGACGAGAAGTGCATGATGGCGGGATGGTCCGTGTCCTGATCACGGGGCCGACGGAATTCCAACCCGCCGTCATTCAGGCACGGGGACGTGGAGTAGTAGTAAACCCCCGTGGCGAAGATGTGCTCGTGCGACATGCCCTCGACATGCCACGAGCCCTCATACGTCTGGCCTGCGGGCTGAATTACGTAGTTGGCAGCTTTGACGATCACTTGCAGGGTGCGACTGCACAGCGGCATGTCGTCGAAGACGACTTTCGCGAACATGGGCAGGAAGAGCTCGAACATGAGCTCGATGGCTCTGTATAAATCCTCGTTCGGGGCCTCTTCCAAATTGTTGATGTACGTCTGGATCTTGACGGAGCCCTCCGCGTCCACGGCGAACTCCGCCGGCAGCCATTGGTACGTGGAGTCCTCGTATTGCCTGCGGAAGACGGACTCCTCCGATTTCTGCGGAAGAGTGGTCTGATCGTCGACGGGGCTGACGCCCTCGATGTAGGGGAACATGGATGGGTGTATGAGGTCCTGAACCTGGTCGTTCGAGCCCGGATGGAAGTCCTTCTTGCTCGAGTTTGCTATGGCGTCGAGCCTCGACGCCAGCAGCGATTTGAGCTTTTTGAGGACGATGTTGTCCACGTACCACACTCCGTTGTCAGCCTGTTCCAGCCTCTTCCAGTCCTTCCACCATCTTTTTGCGAATCTTGCGTTTGACTGCCATCACTTCCTTCTTGATCGCCTCGATGTCTGCAGGCGGGAGGGTGAGTTTGATGGCCGGCTGAGAGGAAGTGGAGGACGATGCAGCGGCAGACGAAGAACCTCGGGCTTCGGCGGAGGATGGTGCTGCCGCCGCTGATGCAGATGTTGCGCCGAGGATGTAACATGCATCCTCCTGGAGCTCCTTCAGGGCCATTTCTACGACATCCGGCGCGATGCCCTGCTCCACGGCCTCGGCTTTGTACTTCTTGGAGATAACTTCATCGTTGATCTTCTCCTCCCACTTGCTTTTCTTGCGAATTGCTCTTATGAGGCTTTCGACGGGCCACTTGGGAGTCCATCGCTCTTGCGCCTTCACAGCAGCATCGACATCTCTGAGTGAAGGCAGCGAAGAAAGCAATAATAAGAATTGATTGTATCCTAAGCATGTCAGTGGTAAGCAAGTGGGAAGGAATTTCTACGAGCATTGATTCGTTACAGGGTGGAGGCTGCTGCTGCTGCTTCATGGCAAGTATATTGCAGATCAATGTTGGGTCCATGGAGGAAGATAATTTCAGAGCTGCAGAGCACTCCCCATCAATGTGAATTACTAGCGAGGTACATACTTCAAATTTTCCAGAGATATTTTCAGTCTCCCCTGGAAAGGCATGGTGTATCAAACTAAGTACGCACTCCCGTGAACCGTCATCAAAAGCCTAGATCGGCTTGCAGAATAATCCACGTCGCCGGAAGGTCGGTTTCATTAGAAGTTGAAGGTGAGTGAGACTGGACGCATGGAGCTCAAATTGGGAATTAAGGGCCAGCTTTTTCTCGCCACCTTCGACAATTTAGAGCCTGGACGTACTGTGGGTGAGTTTCGAGCTTGGCATGAGCAAGAGATGGTGAAGGATGGCTGCGGTGTAAGAGCGCAAGGAAGCTGATGAGGATCACGGGGATACGAGGTGTCTAAAGGGGAATTGCGAAGAGAGGAACCGAATAATTAGAATGCGCTGAAGCAGCAAAGCCTGCCAGTTAAGAGCAACATCGACGCCTGACCAACTGCACTGAACGCAGCGCAGTATGTGATTCAATCCCGCATGCCTAACTGATGGAAGATTTAATTTATCCTCTTCCACTCGCACAAAGACGTACCTGTATATTTCTGCCTGGAAGCAGACTAGCCTCATCGACTTTCTGGTCGCCACTCTCACCTCCTCCAACTGGATCCATGTCTGATTCTACACCAACTCTGACGAATGATATGAGTCTACACACAGAGATACATCAACTGTCCTGAAAACACACACGCCTGTAAACTTGCCAGCGGCGATGTGAGGGCAACAAAAGAGGCAGAGAGATCTAGAACCGCCACATGAGTTTCTACTTGCCCTCCGGAAATGGGGATCGGATGGAGAACAAAACATTCAGTTTCTTTATCCTCTAGTAGCCTTGGCTTTCATCATCTGAAGTTCAAGATGAGATGCATTTCTAATTCATTAGGAACTTTTTGCATGAAGTTAATCATCCCCGGCAGGTGAAATGTAATGATTTCAACGTGAAGGAATATAATGGTCATACTTTAACGGATCTTCTCTTTGCTGTCATCATCCACGAAAGCTTTACTTGAGCAACGGACAAAGCCCGAAACACTAAAGAAGAACATTTGTAAGTTGTTGACATCCGTCTGTTAGACTGTTCGGCATGTCAATGAAGCCACAGAACAGCCACAGTCCTGAACTTCGTGGGCACATGTAGGGAAGTAATCGCGACATGCATCTTCCTCGAAAGTCAAGCAATGGGAAAACTAAAACTGCAATTTCACGTTTCGTTCGACGGCGTAAGGTGATTAATCAAATTGAATCGTATATACTGGAAGGAGACCGTAAAGATGGCATCTCGTGGCTTTCCTCTGTAGATCGGGTATATTCGGGGCATACTGGACCACGATCAAAACGTAGACTTGGTTATTCGATTCTGCATGTGTGAATCTCAGAGTCTGGCCCAGCTACCACATCTGATCAAACTCATACATAAACCTTGTTTATGGATTAAAATTTAGAAGCATGACTTTTCATCAACAGTTGGGAAACACCGGAGTACTCAATACTGAAGATACAGTAGTAGTTTCGAAACACGAGGAAGACGGGAAAATAATCTGTTGCTCTTGTTCACCTTGGCATCTTGGCCTACCTAATCTAGCTTGATAGATCCGGAATAGATGTTAATAACTGTAAAGGATGAGCTACTGGGAAAGGTCTAAGGTTGATCTCCAGTATTAAAGGATCATAGGACGTCATAATGTGCAGCTCAATTTATCTGACCTTCTCGGTTGTAATTTCAGAGAAGTATATAAAATATATGTAGTTTCTAGCCCTTAGGAGCCACAATTACAGGGGATTCTTGTACACGAGATCGAGAAAATTAATTAAAAAAAGTTGTCGATCTCGCTGTACTTCTGTAGCGATAGTATACTTAAAAGATGAGACACTATATATAACTTAATTACAGCACATTGAAATCCTTTGCAAACTACCGTAACCCAAAACCCACCCATAACCCATGGGCATGGGTATGGGCACCCAATGTGATCTGATCTGGTTCTCACCAAATTCCAAGAAAAACGACCAACAAACACGATTCCTGAACACATGATGAAAGTTATGTTTTCAAGAACTTGTCTGTAAGTGGCACGTTTGATACCCTAATACGTGATCTTTAGAGCCCTTTAAAAATTAATTTGTGTTTAGCATGCATGGATATTTGGTGACGCTCGTTTTTTGTCAACATAGATACAGACGATGCATCTGCCTTCCATGTTAATTTGTAGTCATCCAACTAGCAATGGAGGTGATAGGAGTGATATCGGGCAACACTGTATTGATAGTATCAACGTGCTTATATGTTTGTTTTCGTTCAATTATTTCACATCGTTTAAAACTCATAAAACTACCAATCAAACCATGGAGGTGATGGAAAGAACTATAGAAACATACTGATTATGTCAATCTCGTTCTATCGTGAGTATACATATGTGAATGTAGTTTATATATCACAATATTAAGCGCAGGGTAGATTCACAGATTCAAATATCTTTTCAATGGAAATGCTGTTTGAAGCCTCCTTCCAATATTAACCGTCTAAAGCCAAGCTACTTTCATCTAGTCAGCTCCACCATCTAAGTAAGGTTAAAGTACAATTCATGCTTGATAATAATCTTCCTGTGATTTTGATGGAGAAAATACCTAGTTTTATTAATAACATGTGCTCCAACTCTGCAAAGTATTGCTGTTTTCACATTCAGAATATTTAAACTGAATGTAATTCACATATGAGAAATAGAATTTAAACGCAAGTTAAGGATATTATTTAAGGATAATATATAAATTTAATTATTAGTTAAAAATTTTAATCATAAGAGAAATTTGGATCAATATTATCGAAATTTCTGCCTATTTTTGCACAAATTTATGTGTTTAATTTAGTATTTTTTGAACCCAATAATGGGATTTTCTTAGAGAAAATGCAAACCATCAGCGGTTGTATGTTCACACAAAGAGATGCACACACATAAAAAGTCAGCACATAATAAGTACAAGAGGCTATGTCCATAAAACACAAAAATATTTTACTGAAACTTCTAAGTTTGTGTACAACTAGCTTTTTAATATAGTGTCCGTCTGATCTTATTCCAACTAACTAAATTTACACTTATCTTAGTTACAAAACCTGAATTAACTCTTGACATAATCCCTTGCTTCCTGTCTTGATATCTAAAATCTCTATAGCCTATATGATTATTCTTTGGAAAGTTTTAGAAGTCAATCTAACATGAGCTGGAATCAAACCGTAATCAAAATATGATACTTTTAAATTATACATAGAAATCATTATATCGCTAGTTCACTTTCCTTGTGCTTCTTATGCAAAACTTGACTAGCATCATACTTTTTTCTAAAATTTTCTATGTAATATAGAAAAAGAATGGGAAAAATGATATCATAATCTTTTAGCATAAGTCAACAAAACACTAATGACGTTTGTTATATGAATGAACACACTTGACAATGATTGATACAACAGAAATAATGAGCTTGAAATTGGAAGATTTTTTTCTCATCACTTATTTTTTTTCAGATATTTAAAAATCAATCACTAGAATATCAAATTCAAAATCTTTTAAATATAAATTTTAAAATTTTTAAGCTCACATATTACAAGGAGATGTAAAACGTATTGGAGAATTTTTGCAATAAATCCGTCCATCAAGAACATCAAATAATAAAATACAATAGTTATAAATATTTATATGTTTCAAAATCAAATGATATAACTGTGATGTAATAATAATTGCAACTTATAACTGAAGATATTTTTTAATCTTTGGCGTTGAAAATTGAGAAGTTCAACATCAAACAGATATACCTTTCCATTTATGTGAAAAAAAAAATCAAATTTTTTTTGAATTATCTAGATTGTATAGAAAATCATTGATACAACTTGCAATACAATAAGATAACCTTAATTTTGATGTTTTGTAATAAATACATCCATTAAATAAATATGACTTATCTCAATGAATGATTATTTGTATTTCGTCTATGATTTAGGATTTAAATTTTAGGATTAAAATCTTAGAATCCAAAGTTTTAGCATTTAAAATCAAAGTAGAGATTTGCTTGATGGGACCTCATCTAAAGGTAAATTGCTTGATGGGATCCATCAAGTTTCAATTTACCCGATGGGACTCCACGGACGGTGTGCCATCACTGAGTTCTAGTAGGTGTTCTAGTACGGGTATGATCTTGTAAGAATATGTAGCAAATGGAATCTACGCAGGTTACTAGATCATGACAGCCTGATGACCGAGTTCGATACTCACATCCCCAATAATATACGGAGTCGATCAACTCGTCTGCTATTTCAAAGCTCCTTCTAGTGGTCTGAACATCTCAGCCCAGACGTCGACGCAAATGCAATTTTTCATCGTTTTGTTTCACACATGATTCGCAAACTTCGTCTCGCTCCCTTCAAACTGGCACCAGACACTGCACAGACGTCGACCGAAAGGCGGAACCTGGACATTCTTTTTGATGCTTTCAGAATTTTTGGACGTCGAGGCCTCCGGTGAGCAGCGTGTATTTATGTGTATGTATCACATGGTCGATTGAAGAGTTTGTAGTTGGTCCATATCAGGAAAGTCCAGTGCGATTCATGGACTCGAGGGATGCATGGCTTGCGAATGTGAGAGTGGGCTGCTGCAGACCAAGGGTCGAGTTTCTCAATCACTTGAAAAGAACGTCCCATACTCGGGAGCACATGTAACAAGCGAGAGCACGAGAGCTGCACCCTCAGAAATGGTGCAGCATTCGTATGAATATGCACAAGCTCTGTTGTGCGGCTAGTGGCTGGCTGCGAGGATGGTAGAATCCAAGAAAGTGGTTCAGCAGGGCCAGACTCTACGCAGTGATGTGAATGGCGAAACGGAGTATCACATGACATTTTTTCATCTTCCCCATCTAACCGTCCCATTCTTACCAAGAAAGTGGTTCAGGAGGGCCAAATTCTACGCAAGATGCGAAGCGCGAAACGTAGTATCACGTGCCGAAGGTAACACGAAGTGTGATTCACGCACCGTCGTCTTTTCATACTAGAACAGTGTGACGTGGACCGTCGGTGGCGTCCTATTGGGTAAATTGAAACTTGATGGGTACCATCAAGCAATTTACCTTTGAATGGGGTCCCATCAAGCAAATATTTCAATATCAAAGCCCTTAAGTGAGTAAAAAAAAAATCATCGGTATTTTTTCTTGTCACACAAAGTAATAATAGTGAGTATTTAGTGCAAGTGATAGTCAAAGATATATTTGACATACAAACTAAAGTTTTTAAACCTTCAATGCAGTAGTGTAACTATAAGTGCTTCTAGACGAGTATTCAAGAATATATTTGCGGTGCTAGTTTGAAAAACACTCTCACAAAAAACATTCAATGTATAATTTGAGTATACATTATGCTCAAAGGATTAAAGCATAACGGATATCTTCTTATTCACCTCCAAGTTTGTGAACGAGTGACATTTCAACAGTAAGTGAGGTTGGACGTTGACGCGAACTTGAATCAAGGCATTGATTGGGATGTGAATAGTAAGGTTGCTTGCAAAAGCTGCCTGAAGATTAGCATGATCAAACAACAAAATGGACAAAACTACTTCTACCGTACTCTTGATCTCACAATATAAGCAAGACGGATCTCACCGAATCAATGTGATTAAGGACATTTTTTTTAATCTGGAAAAAAGGCAACTTTTTCAGACACTAATTTTATAATGAACGAGTAATATCCATATTTTGTCTAGTTTTGCTCTAGCAGTCAAGTCCTGGTGAATTTTGGAAGTGAAAAAATACCATCTTGCAAGTAAATATCCTCTCAAGTCTTCACAATTCATTCAAAATAGCAAAAATTTGATATTTTTAATGTCCACAGTTGATGCTTCATACTAACATCATGTCAATCCCATGTGTCCATTATATATATATATATATATATATATATCATCTAATCGTTTGCTCTTCCATCCCCATCG